CGGAGCGCGATGCTTCACCCTGCGGACACTTCGCCGCTTCCTGGTAAACAATTAGACGCGACTTGCTCCAGATGTAGCAACTACCGTTGTTCGTCTTGATAAACTCATGCTAACCAGAAATCGGGACCGATTCGTGTCACGCAATATAAAATCTCCTCGCTTTAAACGCAACGAATATAAAGAACGTTCGCCACGTTCAAATATATACAGAATATTAAAAGATGAATACCTATTAGAACGTTTGCATGATAAAAGAAATGTCTATTGAATTGTAGAAAAAGAATGTGCAAAGGATAGAATTTTACTCGGGGGAAAGACGAAATTTTCTAAGGTATGCATTTTTCCTACGGGGGTATCGAATAGATTTCAATGTCGCAATTCATTTTTTCATTCAACGTTTGATATCAATTTCAGGGTATAGGAAATACAAATAACCCGAAGACAAGTATCATGCGATTCTATATCGTGGAATGAGTATCTCATGGAAATTCAATCCCTTGGATCGCAGTGCGAACCCAGCGAAGCATCAATGCTAGCTACAGCATTCTAGTTGCTAGATCGCCTTGCACGTGTCGATAATTTCTTTTGTGCTAAATAGAAAATGAAATAGATCGACGTTCCTTTAATTTAAGAATTGTTTCACTTTTGATTGTCCGCATGTCTTCGAATACTCAATGCATTCTCTATAGTTTATGCATGTATAATCTGTTTTTAAATGTACCTAAAGAACATTAAACGAATAGATGTCCAAATAATTCCAATGAAACGAGTATTTAAACTGTTATGTTGATTCATCCTTAACAGTAAATTGAAAGCTGTTTCACAGGATCATAAACATGTACACAAGCTAATTTAATAACCGATGAACGTATCGTTGCCAGTTGTAGAGAAAGAATGGACGATTTACGATATGCAATTTCGACGAACGTAATAAGAACAAAACTTTCACGTTGGTGGAATACAAACACGAGTACAAGCTCGATAATGCAGAATTCCTATTGCTTGCATATATCTATCAGCGAGCAAATAATAATGTAACACGTATTGATACTCCGCGCTGATATACGCCGTGAAAAGGTTGAAAGATCGCAGCAGATTTCATTTTGGTCGCGCGAGGTCAGCTATCGACTATAAAATCGAAGGAAAGTAAAAGTACTTCCTGTATTTTCATGTGTAAATACAGGTAGAACAAATGCTAATGGATCGTCGATTAATAGTCTGACGTTTGTATGATTTCCGAGGCTTGAACGATTTACTTTCTGTTTTTTAAACGTCGTAACGTATCTGGACAATAAATCGGCGGAACCGTCAAAGGAACGGAAGCGAAACATTTGCCCGAGACATTTTAATTGCAAAGGAAGTGAAATTAAAGCAGCGTTGCAATTATCATACGAACAAGCTTACTGACGTGAAAATTTATGCACGGATCGTGTCAGCAAGTGTAGAATGATGTTAACAATCTCTGTAATAAATGAAGTGTTATCAGTCGGAATTACTCATTTACTTTTGATTAAAAGGAAACGATTACTGTTTTTGTTCCAATGCGTTATATTAGCTACATGAATTATTGCCAGGTCGGCCTGTATGCATTTGTTGAATCTTAATAAAAATTCGCTTACAGCGATGTTAACGATCTTTGCGGTGAATGAAATCGTGTTATCAATTAGAATTATTCATTTACTTTGACTTATTGTTAGGAGGAAGTACCTTTTGTTCATCGGAATGCATTAAAGTGAACCACAATTATAATTCCTTGAATCCCGATAAAAATCCAATTGCTTCTGTTTAAAAAAATTGCACCGTTAATCAATTTCTCTGCAATTAAATTAAACACGAGTCACCACGGTTTCCATTAAGGATGTCCATACTAATTGTGCGACACGCATCGCTTGTACGATTTCACTCATTCGGTCGTTAATGTCAACCCCGTTCGATGAAAATTGCTCGATTCACGAGCATCAATGAACGCGTCTCCTCTCCGCGAAGAGGAAGAGAGTAACGCAACCGTTCATCAATCTTCATCACTGAAATTCTATAGATCGAACAATCTAAACGATAGACGACGTAAAATAAATTATGCGGCCCCCGGTGCATGCGTGCATCATTGTCCCATGTGTTTTATTTGATTTTTCGAACTTTCCTTCCTTCCGTTCTTTCAGTCTTTATGCGCGACCTTAATGCCAACTTTCATTTTATTTTCTCCATTGAATCCGGCTGGGTGATAGATTAATCGTTTTATCTCGAGAACGCGAGATGATAACGCGACAAATTGAAAAAATATCGACTTATTCGTTGGACCGTATTCGCACGATGTTCCTAGAATTAATTAACCGTAAATCCCCTACGCGGGCGATGATAAATGACCGAGTTAGCGACGGTACACTCCAATCATCCAACTTCTGCTCGTTGCATCCATCCTATTGTTCTGTCGGTTTCTAATTCCGCAGGATTGATTTAAATTAATTCTATATGAAATTTAATTTAAACCGCGGTTCAAGTTTAATTTCGTTATACATTCATGATAAAACGCGAACTAGGTTCATAACAGCTTTCACTGTGCGAACACATTAAAAGCGTTTCATAACCGGGAAACTGGTCCACGCGTCGATGAAACGCGGTGTCAACCTTGACTATTTTTACAGGCAATTTTTAGAATGATAAGACACGTAGAAAATTTTACGCCGGCGGAGTTTTAACTCGGAATTCGCTTAAAACGAACAAGGCTACCATGTGCCGCTGCGAGGGAGCAACGAACTGGGACATAAACAAATTTATTCGCGCCAGCTTAGAGAGGCTAAATTTAAATTATTCGCTCGATGCTTCCGTTCGATTTTATCGGTCGATAAGAGTGAAACGATCAGAAAATTTCAGAAACTAAGTACATAATCGATCTTATCTCACAAAAATTCATACTGCAAATTTTTATGTATAATAAAACATTTTTAACATTCATTTAGAAAATGAAATCTAATCGAGGATTATAATGCACTTCACTTTTGATATTCTGTGAGCTGCAGTTTGTTAATGAAATACAATACCAATTCATAAATATAAAAGATATAAAACTGTCGATGAAAGAGGAGATAACATTTCCTATTTCTTTACCGAATTCTATAAAAAGGCAACTTTCACTAATAATCATCAGGATCTTTTTAAAGTGTTCATGAGAACCGGAACGCGCAAAGTGTATTAAAAGGATGATCCGAGCCTCGATTAATCCTTAATTTGCCACTCATGGGATCTATGGGAAACTACACGTTTCTCTCACACCAGGAAATGAAATCGTTCTCAATTGCTCTCTTTTACTCTTGTCTAATGCACAGAGACAAAAAACGTTTAAGTGCTATGCTCATTGCCCTTTTTGCTCTACCGTATCATTTCGCTTATCTATAATAAGCAATCGAAATTTTTGTTACATAACATTAATCTCATTCAATGGTACTTTCATTATGGTACAAATATAAACAGCAATTTCCAAGTGATATTTATATCAAATAATGTATTTCTATCTTTTAATTTGAGTAATATATGTATAGTTATGAATGCGTATTATCCTTTCATCGACAAAAGTAGGAATGTACTTTTCATTCTATTTATGCCCATACACTTAGGACACAGTTCCATTGACCAGATAAGAAATGTTCAATTTGCATTTCATTTGCAATTCACGGCTTAATTTACTCGACAGTGACGCTTACTAAGCTGATATTACGATTAACGAGATTGCGTGAATCGGAATAGACTCGTAATGAATCCGTTACACTCTACTAAATCAAAGAATTATCATCTCTTTCAGGCTGAATCCTTGAACTGTAAAACTAAAAGTTACGTACCGCAACTAACAGTTCACGTGAGAATAGTACGTGTGAATACCTTGTAATTGAAATTCACATCTTATTCTAATGTCGACATTTATGCCAATGTTATTGTTGCGACACGACTTGCAAAATTTCTTGCAAAACTATATTATATTCACCTTACGCCTGAGGTAAACTCGTATTACAACCAATAATACGTTGCACACCTTTCTCAATTGTCTGCGTTTACCCAACAATTTATTACCAAAGAAACCTTTAATGGTACGCAAAATTCTGCGAGGAAAGCATAAATATGTCTCTAAACACTATTTCGAAATGCAATACGAGAATGCAATAAAGCTCTGGCGTACAATATGCAGAAGAAAAAAAATGGAAAAACGCACACGCTCGCAGTACCACACAATACCGTAGTTATGCATGCGTTCGCGGGGTCCAGCACGTATCACGTTTTGTGTTGGGATGCAATTAAGGGGGGAGAAAGAAGAAGATAGAAAACATGGTAGAAAGATACGGAACTAACGCGAGTCGGGTTCCCCAACGCCCACTTGATCATACAGCACAGAGTCGAAAGAGAATCGTGCTGAAACTGAACGTGCATCACCCATCGTCTCATGTAACTCACTATCTTCCATTGGGATTGCACAATTAACAGCCACGACAAAAATCCCAGGTATTAACTATATGATTTTGTAAACTGGCGCAGATTTAAGATTTTTTACTTAGTCGTTACATGATCCAATTATCCGATCAATATCCCTCTTATACAAAATTATTACTGAACAAAACTATTTATAACGTCAATTAAAACAGATTTCTGTCATTTTTCTCAATTTTGGGTAGTTTGATATCTTTCTATGAATTACGATTCAAGCATTCTTAAATCGCGTTCATGCCTGTTCCGCGTATCTCAAGCACGTTGCACGTAATTATTTACTATTGCCGGCGCTTGTACTATACGGCCGGTTAAGTGTTCGTTGTCGACCGTTTCCGTTAACAATAAAGAGATATTTCCGGTTCGCAAACGGAAACGACGTATTTATAATATTGATTCGTCGCGTTAATGACTCGCGCGAAGCATAAACGCGTCACTCGCGGACAAACGTATTTATACCTCGCGTATTGTACAAAGACCAAATTTTTCATTTGCATGCTATAACAAATTGCTGTTTTTGTATCACTCACCATATGTTCCACTGCTTTCTCCTCAAGCTCGGCCAGAGTCCAATCAACGTGGAAACTCAGGGGTTGAAGACGAGACTCCATTTCACGAAGCCATTTTCTCAAGCACTTTACTTCGTGCTCGAAGTCTGTTACACAAATCTTTTACTTAAAAACTAATTCGGCATAGAATTCGATGGAGTCTTTAATTTCTTACGAAATTACCTGCTGACATATCTTGTTGATTGGATACAGGCCGCTCGACAGGTGCCATTATTTGCTCGACTAACTCCCATTTTGCATTCAAATGGTCAACTCGCCACGCTACTTCATCTTTCAAAGCAGGGGCACATGACACTAATTTTTCAGCTTGATCATTAAATAGTTTTCTTCTGTACGCCCTACGTCGCAGCTCCTCCATGTGAGCCTTAAATATGAGCAACGTATTTAAGTTATTCAATATATAAAATCTAATTGTAGTTAACACATTTAAGTAATACATACCGCACGCAGACTTTTATCTAATAGATTTTCCTCTTTACTATAAATCAGTTCTTGAAGAACCCTCAGCCATGAGTACAATTCGGAGAACTGACTACTAAATTCTTTAAAGCTCCATGATTGTGTAGATACATCAGTCTCATCCCATGTCAATTCACCATTAGCTTCCTGTTAATGTGACCATAACATATGAACTTTAAATCTAATTACATGTACATTAAAAACATTGCAATGAAGTCTACATACCTTACAACTATCTATCAAATTAGTATCCATAATGTAATCATAGTTAGATCGTATTGCTGCCCAAAATTCATCTTTGCAGTCTTCTCGGTTAGTCCACAAACGTTGATTGTGTAGTTGCTTTGGATCTTTCCTGTAATGCAAACACAATTTAGTTGTATGATAATTTAGAATATATCGAATAAGAAATATTGTACAAACCTCTTTTTTGTGAGACTGTTGTATGGTCTTTCTATCGCTATCCCCACTTGGCCATGCTTTTCCAAGCCATGACCGAGTGGCTGAAGCGAAGATAAGGAGAAACTCATCTTCATGGCTGGGCAGTGGTCTGCAATAAACAGAGGTTTATATGAAAATAACAGAATTAACAGTAACGTATAAGAGAGATACAAGAATACTAAATGAAACAATTGATTTAGAAATAGTAATAGATGAAAATTGCCATTGTCTTTTTATTTTCTGAAGATATCAAACTGTCATGATATTAAGAAACAATTACTGAATACAATAAATTGTTTCAGAGTATTCTTCTATATTTGCAGTATCTTATATCTAATTATATCAGGCGAATGAGTCAGTGGTATAACCTCTCGAGTACACTTGGGAAGGATACTTTCTTTCACTTCAAAATTGTCAAATGTTTTTCACATAATTTACCTGGGAACTACGTGACATCAGAAACATCTTACACACACGAAAACACTACAAGCGTTCGCGAAAGCAATTTTTTTGTACCATTCATCGAGTTTCTAAGTCAGAACAAAAAAAATTCTCGACTGCGATGCATTAGACGCAACACGACATGGCAATGCCTTTTGTACCTGTATTATCTTAGCTGCATTTCACGTGTAGATACAGCATTTAACCAGTGTTAACGCGAAGAGCTGTATACACACGCATTTCGACAGGTAGCGCGTACAAGTGTATTGTTTGCTTTATCAAAAACACAAGAGCCTCCTGTATATACGCATACGCTCCGGCTAAAGTTACAAGATAAGCGTCCGAGAACTTACTACAAAGTCGCTCGAACTCATTCGCGGCTGTCGCCGGAATGCTCCCTCGTTCTTATCTGATACTGTCATGAAACCGAGTTAGCATTCCCCGAAATGATTTCTGTTCAAATGTATTATTCAGCGCGTGAGGTAAAAAAAAATGTAATCGAGGAAACCGGAGAACGTAGCGACGAGAACTCGAGAGTTGGAGGGGCTGCACTCCAATTGCACACGTCCAAGGTGCAGCCTCTTGCCAAAGAGTAAGTATGCAAACAATGTATCTATCCGGGACGTATGCGTATTTGAATAATAGATTTTATTCGAAATATGTCGCCGCACCATAACTGCAGCCTCGATACGATAGTGTAAATATTGCATCGATGCTGTGAGTCATGGTTTTTTTGCACCGTTTCTCGAGGGAAACGTAGCTGAAAATTTTTAGCAATATCGGGTTTCACTCACTCATATCACACGTCGCGATCCAAAACGAACAGGCGATCCATTTGGCCGCGGTGTTAATTGCGCGTTAGTAACATTTTCGCAATTTTTTAATCCAACGAGACCGCCAATTTTTTTTAACAAAATACCGCCTTACACACCACTCTGCACACCGACATGCACCAACGTGCACTGCCGTAGCACGCATGCGTATCGCCGACAAGTGTAAGGAGTTGCGACGACTCATGGCAGATTCTTAGAGAGATAATCTATTCTTACCGTTGGAATAAAGCGAGACGGAAGACGCGAAACCGAAATGGGATAGAATTAGGAGAGATATTCTCGTATTCGCAATAAGACAGTCTAAACAGCGGCGATAAATTGTTAGGCAAACTGCATACTTGGCGCCTCGTGCGTGTCCTATGGTATGTACGCAATTTTTTCAAATGCTTCGTGAATTTTTATGAGCAAATTATGCGCAAATGATTTTAAACGTTAACTCAACCATTGCGTATTTATTTGTACCAACAATAAGTAGAAAAACTGACTTTTTCGTATTCATATTTGCAACGTTTCTATTCTTCCTTCGCAACATTATTGCAGCTTACAATCTTCATTTAAGAATTATTTTACATTAATTATGCAATGATCTCATCAAATTAGTATTGCGAACATTCGTTCTTCAACATAAAGAAACTTTTCGAATATAATTTGTGGAAATAAAAAGATCGGGAAAACGTACAAAGGATAAGATGGGATTACATGAAACGAGAACGATTGCAAATCAATTCGTTTATTTCGAATTGTACGTCATTGAAAAATCTCGGCGACGGTGAATTTAGTATTCTTCGGCTCCTTCTCCTTCACCTTCTGCGGAATCCATACCGACCTCCTCGTAGTCCTTCTCGAGGGCGGCAAGATCCTCGCGGGCCTCGGAGAACTCACCCTCCTCCATACCCTCACCGACATACCAATGTACGAACGCTCTCTTGGCGTACATTAAATCGAACTTGTGGTCGAGGCGGGCCCAAGCCTCTGCGATAGCAGTGGTGTTGGACAACATGCAGACGGCTCGTTGTACCTTGGCAAGATCGCCACCCGGTACTACGGTGGGTGGCTGATAGTTGATGCCAACTTTAAAACCGGTCGGGCACCAGTCGACGAATTGAATGGTGCGCTTAGTTTTAATTGTAGCGATAGCTGCGTTGACATCCTTGGGCACAACGTCGCCTCTGTAGAGCATGCAACAGGCCATGTACTTTCCGTGACGAGGATCGCACTTCACCATCTGGTTGGCCGGCTCGAAGCAAGCGTTCGTGATCTCCGCAACTGAGAGCTGTTCGTGGTAAGCCTTCTCCGCAGAGATTACTGGGGCGTAAGTGACCAGCGGGAAATGAATTCTGGGGTATGGTACCAAGTTAGTCTGGAACTCCGTAAGATCTACGTTGAGAGCGCCGTCGAAGCGAAGCGAGGCAGTGATCGAAGATACGATCTGACCGATCAATCTGTTCAAATTCGTGTACGTCGGTCTTTCGATGTCCAAGTTTCGCCGACAGATATCGTAGATAGCCTCGTTGTCGACCATAAATGCACAGTCGGAATGTTCCAAGGTAGTGTGGGTTGTGAGAATCGAGTTGTAAGGTTCGACCACTGCAGTGGAGACTTGCGGAGCCGGGTAGATCGCAAACTCCAGTTTCGACTTCTTTCCATAATCCACTGACAGACGTTCCATCAAGAGAGATGTGAAGCCGGATCCAGTGCCACCTCCAAACGAGTGGAAGATGAGGAAACCTTGGAGTCCAGTACATTGATCTGCGAGTTTACGGATGCGGTCCAAGACAAGGTCAACGATCTCCTTGCCAATCGTGTAATGACCGCGAGCATAATTGTTCGCAGCATCCTCTTTGCCTGTGATCAGTTGCTCGGGGTGGAAGAGCTGACGATAAGTGCCAGTACGAACCTCATCTGTAGGAAATATTGGTAAAATTCATTTGAATCATCCTTGAAACATATTCAAGAAACTTTAGTGTACAGAATAATTACGTACCGACTACTGTAGGCTCTAAGTCAATGAAAACAGCTCTGGGCACGTGCTTTCCAGCACCAGTTTCACTGAAGAAAGTATTGAAACTGTCATCACCACCTCCAATAGTTTTGTCTGATGGCATCTGACCATCAGGCTGAATGCCATGTTCCAGGCAGTACAATTCCCAACAGGCATTTCCAATCTGGACTCCAGCCTGGCCAACGTGGATTGAGATACATTCACGCTGAAAAAATATAAGTAATTTTTAGTCCTTAACTCCTGTTATCATCCATAGCACTTTATACACGATATTTAATCCATTTCCATCAAGTACTGAGATATTTGGAAGAATTTAGCTAAATGACGGAAATGTGTTAACAAGAATCGTTCGCGAAGTATCGATCGCGTCCCAAAACGACGCGTATTTCCCCCACTCGATTGACGCGAAACAACGAAATCGCATTTCCCTTCCCTTTATGCTTTCACATTTCCTAGCCTGTGCAAAGATTCATTTCGTGCAAACTTATGCGATCACTAACAGTGAATTATAACTGTTCTGACTATTTTAACGGTACCTAAGTGAGTCATAAAGAACAGGGCGGTGCCGGCCGGTACAAGCGTCACCCAAGCCATGTTGTTCAACGTTCATCGTTTGGACGATTATTCGTTGCTCGCGGACACAATTTTCAGAAATTATTTCTACTCACCATTTTGAAGTCTGGGGTTTAGTTTCGCACTTTTGTAGAAAGTGAGCAGTTGATAGTTAGAGCAAGTAATGGAGCTTTTGCTATCAGCCACACACAATGCACGGTCGAAGACCAAACGATTAATGCGCGATGGACGCTCGACACGAAATTTATACTACCGACTATCGACTCTTTCAGTTCACATCCATTGGCCGTTGGTGACTTCATCCTGGGCTCCGATTCGCTCGCGGAAGACCGCAGAACGCCAGGACGCCTTCACGCATGTTTTCTACGCACCGGATATATAGCTCCTGACCTCCTCCCTTGCGACATTTATTTTATTGATTTTATAAATTTCGATGGGTGCAGCAGAAGCAATTCGTGTTTAATGACCTGTTCATTGACTCGACAACGATTGATTTGCTTTTCGATGAAGGAATACGGTAATGCTTTACATTATTTGTTATTAAATAAATCAAGGTTTATTGAATGAAGTTATGCAAATTAATTCGCGGTAGCTTCAGTAATTTCTTTCAGCATGTGACTATATAGAAGTTCATTTCTATCAATGATTCTACGTTAAATAATTGGCATCATTAAGAATGCGTATGACCTTTTCTTTCATTAAACATAACGTGATTATGTCTTCATTAATGAACTTGCATTGGGAACAGTAGGGGAGGCATGCACTTAAATATGTACTCGAACATTGTGTAATTAGGGTACCTTGAAATGTATGTTAGAAAATCATGATTTAATTTTTTATAAAACGAATGAGATCTTAATAATTATTGAATAATACACAATGGTGCAGTATTCTTAGTTGCAATGTTATGTCTATTATTTATAAGCGTTAAACTTGTCCATCGGTTAAGAATAGACATTACGTCGCGGAATTTCTATTTAAGAATTACATACATATCTACAAGTCGTGGAAAGTAATAAAATGATAATTGACCAATGGTATTACCACCAAAAAAGAAAATATTCTACTATTACCCATTTCTAAGAACGAATCAATAATTTCCTGAGAACGATACCATACTATGAGTTTAAAGAGCGAAACAGGCAAGTTAAAACGAATTAACTTTATTGATCGTGAGATGTGAGTTCTTTTTCGAACTCTGGAGGTGTGATGCTGAGGAAGGATGAGGGCCGTGACAGAGCGCATGTGCCTCTCACTTTTTCTAAAATTGGTCACAGCCGGTCGGATCTCGCCAAAGGAAAGCGGTAAACCGTGATGGTCTCCTCCGTAGGACTTCCAAGGTGGGGCACGAACAGTCGTAGCTGGAAATAACTCATTTGTACAGTGTCCACAAAGAGCAAAATAATTGCGTAGAGAGAGCTACAGAATCGTCGTATCACTATTATTCTCTCGGTAAAAAGAAAGAACCGTGCAAAGGCCGTCGCGCCGGTCTGAATAATAGCTTCTAAGTAGGACATCACTTGAATGGTTCGCAAACATGTAACAGCTGTACGTACAGGCATAACGGAGTATGAAACTCAGTATCCGTATTTATTTATACAGACTAGAAAGTCAGATGTGTTCTAGTTTTGTTTCTGCCTTATGAAACTCATTCTTGTTTTTATCCATACATTATGGAATTGACGAAACTCAAACTTTGGTCTGATATTATTATTTAATATTTTATATAATATGCTTCATTTTTATCTGAGCATGAAAGTTGATCTCGGGTATTAACATAATCACTACCGGTAGAGCATCGATGATGTAACAGAACGACCACGCTTATTGTCCTTGCATCTGTAGCGATCTTGTTCACCAAATATAGATACTTAGTACCTCAAGGCTTTATATGCACTTCATATCATAACGGAATTCATTGGTAATTCAAATAAAATTTTCTAAACGTTTTAAAATTCTTCACGATATAATATTTTTATCTCAAATGATTGTATAATACTTACCTGATGAGGCGATTAATGTTCCATTAACGAGCGAGTTTCTATATTTATCAATGACTGAGTTTTAAGTAATGGTCAATCACTGATTACAAAATTGGTATCTACTTAGAATTCTAAACGTCACTTCATTATTATGCTAGAACGAATTACAGCATCGTCATCTGGAATCGTTCATCTGTTCTAATCGATCTTTTCTTTTTTAACTTCCAATTGATAAAAATGATGATTAGAAACCGTCGAGAATTGGGAATTTTTGTATGAGATAAAGGAGACTGATTTAGGTAGAGGAATATTTTTTTAATAGTAGAACTGCTTGTGTTACTTGCATATACTTGCTTAATAATATGTATATAGAGTGACTATAACGTATATTTCTGAGAACAAATAAATCACATATAATTTACAAAAAGGAACTTGACGCGGCGCTTAATATTGCTCTTATCGTCGTACAATAGATATGGTATTATCATCTATACGTGTGACTCTAGGCGTATGGATCTTTCCCCTTACATTTTGCGCGTACTCGCTCGCACACGGTACGCTCGCGGACAGAACATTAAAATCTCTCCGCAGTGTTTACTCGCAAACCTGTTTCTGCAATGTAGGTAGGCCGTATTCGTTTCTCAATTGAATTAAACAGTAGTAAAAGTATGCCAGTTTTTTCTGTGCATCGTCAGGACAGTCAAATATGTTGTGCAATTTTTCATAAATTAGATCTACGAAAAACAGAACGCAGATTTTTATTATTTTTCAATTTTCCAAGTGAATATTTGCAGTCTAATAGTAATCGTACACTGGGCAGTGAGTCACGTAGAAAAACGACCGCAAATTTCAAAATTAAGGATATCGTTACTTTCTGCGTTTTCTTTCTGCTCTCGCTTTAATTACGCAACGTACAAAAACGTTTCCCTCCTGTTTAGATGCAAGTTGAATACGATCCGACCAATACTCGAATCGGATGATCTACGATAAAATTATTAAAGATTCGGTTATTCTAGTACTTCCTGAAAATACCAACAATTTGCATCAGATGCTATTATCTAGTCAGTTAACTTAATCTGCCTGAATTTGATACTCTGCGAAAGGTCGCTATTGGAATTAGTTTTTAAACATCCTGTAACGTACACACGAAAATACAGAGTTGAGAACCGGAATTCACACGATAACGAGACATTTCATTTTTTTTTTTTCCTTTTCGTCGTCGATCCTATAACTACGATATAAAACGGCACGACGTCTACGTCTAAACTTTTATCTATGTACAATAAACGCTCGACGAGTACCTCGCTCGAGGCTCGCCGTTAAATCCCTATCGCTGACTCTTCAGGATAGATCAGCGTATCTAAATTTACATCTAGATTATTCCAAGTATCTGCACGAGTTTTGGAAGATTTTTTTCTTCGCTTCTTCTGCCGTTGGGTTCAGAACATATTCGTTCTGGTCATCGTAAAAGTGGTTTAAATGAAAGAATGGACATTTTCATTATGTCGCATTGATTTATATTTACTTTGATTTAGACCACTTTCATTGCAACCAGCATGTTGTGATATTAGAACCGTTTATCCGTGAATACCACAGAGTATCCTATAAAAGGAAAGATAAAAACAGGACTCGGGGATTAGTCGATTCAAAAGCTGAACGTGATCGAATCGTTTGGTACAGGGCAGTGTTTGAGAGAACATCAGTTTCGTTCCCCGTTGACTATCTCTTATTCTCGTCTTCGTCATCTTCTTATTGTATTCGCTTAGAATAATTCCGCACATCGATGAGACACTGTTCGATTAAATATTAAAACGATCACTTTAGCAACCACCGCGTGATGCTTACATCATTTTCATGTTGAACCTGTTTATCACTGGGTCATAGTAGTGCAACGCGTTCTATCTAAACATACAATGGCACGATTGGCCTGTCTCTAGGCCGAACTTCGAGTCGTACACGCTAATCCAATGGTGAAGCCATTAACTAACGCTGTCGCTGTAATAAATTATTCTTGAGACACTTCTCCGACTCCAAGCAGGCTGTCTGCTCTCCTTGATTCTCAGATTCAAATCTTGTTCATCCGTCAGTTGAAACAAACGCATTTCCCGGCCTCGACGACCGACTATGGTTCACGCTTCGGATTCCGTCGAGAAACGAGTGGCTACTCGTATTCTTCACCCCCATCGTTATTCTGCAAAAGCGAACCGATGTGGTATCCGTAGCCTAATCGATTCGCGAGGCCTGCCACGGATCAGAGATTCTCTTCGTCCGCATCCTCGTCCTCGGAACCTCCATAATTTTCACCAGAGTCCTGTCTGTCCACCGCGATGAACAGTGCCATGAATCCCTTGTTCGCTATCGTGTCGTCTGTCCTGAATCTCACCAACAACGCCTCGTTTATCGATATGAAATCTGTGGTGTTCTGAAAATTCAAACGAATAATTTAAATTAATTATCGAATTATACTTATACAATAATTCAATTGAAATTATTCGGTAACATACACTGTTGCCACAATATCGTCCGTACAGAAGACCGGAAGTGTCCAAACCAGAGTAAACCTCAACAAAATCGTAATTGCAGTCGGTCTCCGATTCAAGTTGGAACGTGACGAAAGTCAAGTGAACGTTTTTACCAAGCGGTGCCTCGATCGCCCAATCGCAATCGGTTCTATGGTCGTAGGGATGGGTGCCGTATTTCGCGTGCGAGTACAAATGCTTCACCTCGTTTGTCGCAATCAAGTGGCCACCGCAGGCTGTGAACAAGTAAAGTCTTAACTTCTGAATACTCGGAGCGGTAGGATTGTTCGCTCTGAGCCGAACTTACCAGTGCTATGAGTGGCGAGGAACCCTTTCCTCTGGACGGAAGCGTCGCTTTTGAATACCATATACATCTGATTCCCAGTTGCCAAGATTGGATGCGGTTCTTTGGTGCCGCAGAACTTGCCAAGGACGTGGCTGTCGGGCGAGTCCCCGTCGTAAATGGCAATATGATCGTAATTGCATTCCTGATGGGATTCCATCTCGAAGACTTTGAAAACCTAAACAGTTTTATCAGAATTTATATTCTTCAACGCCCAACTATTATATAATTGTAAAATCTTATACGATATGTTAATAGTAAAATGATAGAATAAGATGTTTCTATACTAACTAATTTAATACGGTGTCCTGGTTTGGTAACAAAGTGCCAGACGCAATCTTTGAGACCGGGGTAATAGTCCGGATAGTTCGGGGAAGTTATGGTACCCACAGGGGCGACGATTTCGTATTTGCAGCCACCCTCCTTGCAGTCGCGTCCATTTTCGTGAAGCGTGAACCCGTTATGACAGGAACATTGATAAGAGCCTATTGTGTTCCTGCACTCGTGCTGGCAGCCACCGTTATTGTCCGCGCACTCGTCCATGTCCGTGAAGAAAATTGCTGCGAATCCAGTTTTCTGGATACTATGCAAAAACGTGTTGATTAGGAAAAAAAATGAATCTGTAAAAATAATTAATCAAATACCTATTGTCTGAGGTAAATTTGACTCGCATAGAGTTTCGTTCAGAGGTGATCAATGGCGGTAATCTCGAGCCACAGAATACTCCGTGCTTCCTCAATAGATCGTCTCCAAGTTTGCTGCTCACTTCGACCGAGTCATACTCGCACTCCTGTTGACGGGCATTGTTCCCTTCCAGATCGAAATGCGTGAAATTCAGCGTGATACGGTATTGAGGCGGTGCTATAATTTCCCAGACGCAGTCCTTGTTCCCTGGATAAGTCACCGGGAACGATGGACTGGTGATAGTTCCGTTATTATCCTCGAATAATCCACCGCAGGCATCTAACACATAAATACATTAATTAACACAACCCTCTTCAAAATCTGTATCAATCGATAAATGTGATTTTAAAATTTAATTGTTTTTACCTTCGCACCGTTTCCCATCGGAATGCAATTCATAACCGGGTTTGCAAGAGCACTCGAAACCTCCCAAAGTATTGATACAATTATGTTCGCATCCGTGATCGATCAGAACGCACTCATCGAATTCTAAAAAAAATACAAACAACCTGTTAATCGCGTTTAACCTTCGACCCCGTGCAACTTCGTGTCGTATAAAAGCGAATTGAATGGAGTGGCATCGAAGCTCGGTGGAACGTGAAACGGTGTGCACCTTTCATGAACGTGGCGGAGAATCCAGCCTTCTGCACCGATCCGTCGCTAACGAACTTCACTAAAAGTTTGTTCCAGGTCGACTTAATGTCCGGCGGTATCTTGTACCCGCAGTAAACGCCGATTAGTGGTGAGTCCGCGTTATGACCGTCCCGCACCTCCACGTAGTCGTACACGCAGTTGTCGTGGTTTTCGATCTCGAACGATTGAAACTTTAGTGCTACTTGGAAGTTCTCCGGTACGGACAACTTCCAGACGCACTCCTTGCTCGATTGGTAGCCCTCCGGGTAATTGGGCGATTCCAAATGGCCCGTGTCCTCCAGCTCGATCTCGCCCCCGCAAACGGCCTCGTAGCTCGCCGTGAAACCCCGATGCCCGGTCTGGTGACCCGACGTTACATATGTAACCAGCATCCGGCTTCCGGTGGAGACCACTGGCTCGTGGATCTTTCCGCTTCCGCAGTAACGACCTGCAATTGTCAATTACTTACGTCGTTTCATTAAATCAAGGTATTCTGTCACTCGTTTCACATAAAAGTATTCAGTTATTATACTACAGATATTTATACAATTTAATATATAGAATCCAGATGAACATTTCTCTAAAAATAATCATATGTATTTTATTTTTCCATAAATCTAATCTTTTTAAAAAACAAAGTACTTTGTTCAATTTAAAACCGAAAAACCAAGTAAAATGAAATACGATATTCATAAAGGCTGAGCGTAAACCAAAGGATTACACAAATCTTACACGGTATCGACAACCTAAATCCTCCTATAGGTAAACTTTATAGCATTTAAAAAAAAAAGTTGTTTCCCGACCATTCATTTATCACCATGCAATGTGCGTATATTCGTAATCGGGATTAAACTATGAAAGACGATATTTTGCCATGGACCGATGATAATTCTAAAAGAATTTTACTCACCGAGCACGTTGCTCTTGTGCCAGTATCCATCTCTGATCTCTAAATAATCACTGCGACAGTAATTACTCTTGAATATGTCCAGAGACGTAATGTTAAGGACTATTCGTTCACCGTGCGTGGCTGTGATTCTCCATTCGCATCTCTCGCCTTCGGGTGGCGGCGAACTATTCGGGTGAGAAGGCGAACCGAACGAACCGCTATTTTCTTGAAACGTTCTGCCACATTCTATAACAAAAGTAAAATTAATAGAAATAAATAATTAGATTAATTCAATAAATTCTGTAGAATGTAATCTATAGAATGAAATTGTGAGAATTTCCGTTTATCTTCTACATACTTTTATACTTTTTATGTATTTTTCATACATAAAATCCAGTATAATAAATAATTAGTAGTTACTTCTAGAAATTGTTACAAAGAGAAATTAATGGACTTACTATAGCATTTGTAGAGAAGATTCGTCTGAGCGATATCACCCTCGCTGAGACGCAACCTCTGACCAATCTCAGGTCGTTTCTTCCCATGAATTTCCATTGGCAAAATCGTATCTAAATATGTACCCCTCGAAAACGTGTTTTTTGCATAGTGCATGATGGAATCGTAATCATAAGGCAAGCCGAGAGAATTCACTTCCTCTTCGGTCAGCTTATTGAAATTGTATTCCTGACCTGAAACAATTTTTATGGCATAATTAAATAACAATTTTATGTGATCCAAATATCTTTATTTAATTTCAACTCAATTTTTATATGATATGACTGAATAACAGTTTCGATATACAAATTAGATTACAAAAGCGAACATTCATAAACTTGCATCGTCTGTCTTACTACCCATGTTACTAGATCTGTGAACCACTTCAACAATCGAACTACCATTCAAATTAACCACCTCGGCGAACTAGGTTTGAACACCATCGAGATCCAGCGTCAAGTAACTCCACTCTGCCTAACTAAAGTTCCGAACTGGGAGAAACAAAGCCGATCGATTTGATCGATCGCCGGCTGCTACGAAAGCGGCATTGCGAACCGCTTCCGGTATACACCCCCAATTGTTATCCCACGTATTGTGCATTCCGTGTTTCCTAGCATCTCATCGAGTATTATTCGTCCGTTGTTTAAACTCGACGAAACCGTCACGGGGACTGGTCACGCATCCTCGCGTAACGTTTCGTCGTCTAAGGCGCAATTTCGCTTGGCAAACAGTCGGCTAATCCAACAGCTCGTTATCGTATTCGTGTTATGAGTATCCATTAATCGGTACACGATCACGCTGTAAATATTAGAATAACCGTCCCGCACGATTACATAGTTGTCACCGCTAATGACGAGTGAGATTTGCTTTTGGGCTAACTGGCCTATTAATCTAAACCGGAACCGAACCCCTGCGCGGAATCGAGATTCGGGCACGTAGTGGCCGTGTCTTCAGTTTTGATTCCTTCTCACGTTCACCAAACATTTCGGCGTCGATGCGTTCGCGAAGCAAACACAACTATTGCGGTGTTCTAATGATTGTTAAACGAAACGTTGCAGAAACATGCATGAAATAGAATGTTTTAGTTTTATTATACATGCACGGAAAATTTAACTCACCGGACATGATATTGTCGCGAATGATCTGTACGTGACGGTCCCGATCGGGCCTGGTGTGCTCGTGCCAAAAACCAACTACGTGGCCCAATTCGTGTACCACTATTCCAAACTTGTCGCAATTCTTCCCGATGCTTATCGCCTGGGGACCGTTACCCCTTTTCCCAACGAACGAACAGCAACTGTTCACAAATCATTTTAAAAAAAAAGAACCAATTAAATATGAATAATCTTCGAACAATGTCATTTTATTATTATCACATTTATATATTTTTACAGACTCAAATTTCGTTTTATCTCATGAGGTGTTAGTTCGAATATAGAAAATATATGAATAACTTTCTAAAGATAATATCTATTGAAAGAAAAATAGAATCCTTGTTCGACGCGTTGGTAAACTCACCCACACGGCCTTTCCGTGAAGAGTATATAATTAGGATGCTCGCCAGGGACCCTTTCTACAAATTTAACGCAAGTAAAGTTCTCCCAGTGTCTCATAGCCTGTTTGAACAAAGCCTTGTGAGCGCCAGAGAAATTCCCATCGATCTCGTAAGGGATCACACCGTGATCCCACACGCGTTCCTTGCGAGCTGTCGCGGCCCTCCGCGTCCTGCTCGAAAATCGGTGCCTCGTGGTGCCCCTCTTGTTCGCGAGATACTTCGGCTTATGCTCCATGTCGTAGAATTCGATCGAACGCAATTGCCGATCGTGCCACGAAATCACTTCGTCCGACGAATCTTCGAAGTCTTTTTTGATCACCGGTATCTTGCGTCGACGATGCCTTCTCCTGGTTCTGAAAATTTACGCGTTCTTTCATACATTATTGAACTTAGTGACATGTGATTCTTTTTTAAAGTGACACAACAGTTATGCAATATATTAAAACTAATGAATGTTAACTCTAATCATTTTATACGTAAAAAAATCAGAGAATTGACAATCCCACTGGCTGACGATGTGTCGTGAAGCAGATGACGCCTTAAGAGGTTTATATCACTCATCCTCTGAAGCCGCTTAAAGAGAACTACCTACCCTAAAACCCTCATAAAGCACTACATAAATTTGCGTTCGCATCCCAATTGCCAGTGAATTCCTGACATCATTTTAGCGGTCCGTGAAATATTGCCAGTCAATCTCGGCTTTCTTCCACAATTTACATTTACCCTGTAAAAGTTGTCGAGGTTTCCCCTTTGCCGGTGAAAAAAAGACGCGGTCCCTCAGTCGAGCGGGGCTCGACGGAAAGCAAAAAGGAGTACGAGACAGCGGAAAATTTACTCAGCATCGAAGCGTTGAACGCGGCACGGTCTCGTTAAAAGACTGTGAGAGCGGAAAATTTACGGCGCAAAGCGGCAACCATCAAATGTTTAATGTTAACCCGTAGTGCCGGCTCGTTAAAACCGAAAGAGCCCTGTCCGGTTATTAATATGCTATTAGCGTGATATTGAATATAACTAGCCGAGTTTCGCGAAGGTTTACCCTCCATTATTATCCTCCCAGATAGCAATTTTCGTTTTGCTCTAGACCACCCTCATAAACCGATCAAAAGTGTTTTTGGGGCATAATCAGCATTGATTATTCACTGTTGACAAAATAAATCATACGGCTCGAAGTTTAGTTCCGTCTTTGCATAGTCAATATCGACGACAAGTCGTATAGATATATAATAGTTTATGGTTGGCCACGTGATTATAAAAAAATCTGACGAATATTCCAATTTGAAGTAAACCACATAAATCATATAAAAAAATCGTACAGGAAGTTGTGAATAGTTCTAACAGAATGGTACTTCAAATGAAAGAGTATAAACAGTTTCTGTCCATCAACCATTATGTGGAACATTACGTGTTACACGTTTCCATCCCCCTTTACACAGCCTCGATAACAACCGGATAGGATAACAGTTTATGGAGGTCCCGCGAATTGCTATGGTTGCCTCGCAGGAGTTAAACGAATCGTTTATAACGCAGGGAAAGGGTTGAAACGGAGGTAGGTAAAAACGATACGAGGCGAAGTCGCAGAAACAGGTGTTCCAGGTTGTAAAAATAGCCGCGAAACGCAGCATTAAAGCGAGACCCGTAGCTCGTGAATTGAATGCACCACGCCGCCCGGCGATTGCCGTTTTTTTTACGATATCGGATGAAATTGCCACCCGGGGCCGAAACGTACGCGCTTTTTACAGCCCCGTCCGGTCACCCGCGGACACCCCTTTCTCGGGTGGGGAAGCAATCGTAGCTAACGAACTGTTCGACCAAGTGTCCAATTCCAACTTTGATCAAACATTGTGTATTTATGCGTCCAATGCAAAATACAAGTTTCTCATTCCAATTTTTCAATACACTTCTAGAGTCTAAAAAATCGTATCTAATCAGTGGAAAGGTATGAAAATAAAATATGACACATTGGAAAGGTTTGAGAATAAAATATGATACAAGAATTTTGTAAAAGATAATATATTTAAAAATTTCAAGAAGGGAAATTTAAAGAAATATTATTCGCAACAACGATTGTTTATAAAGATCAATTTGCTCCGTCATAAGTGTTTTATTTGAACATGTTCTAAATAAAAATTGAAGGCCCGGTACTAGTTGTCGCGCGATATAGAACTCGATAGGAGGGAGTTCGCCTGCTGCGAAACTCAATACGAAATTCTCCTGTCGTAAGATACAATACTGATGACCCTAGGTCGCGGAGAGGTCCCATACGAACTACCCCCGGACTGCGAGACTCTCTGTTCCTCGATATCGACGGCGCCAGGCTCGTGAAACGTTATATCAATGATCGAGGAGTTTCGGGGCTCACAATCAATAATCTCGAACTTGTGGAACTAGACCAGGAAACTTTCGGATCGTAAGGCGCGGTACTCGCAACATTCAGATTCCGGAAACTGCGGTATGTAATTTGAGAACTGTAGATTTGATGTTCTTACAAGAAAATTGTATGAACGCTGCACTTAGTACATAAGAATATGTACGGAGTAAAAGCAGCGTGAATATTGCATTAGATGGAACAAAAAACTGATTCCATTTTCTTAATTCAAAGCGATAAATGTTTTACTTTGCATGAAAGTCCACAGTCTACTAAATTTAATTTCTCTTTTCAAAAGCAATGAAAAATTCCTCTAACGCCGAGATATCATACCTTTGAAATATGAAATCTGGGTTAGCAACTCTCTCACATATCTTAATGAATGCCAGATACATGTTTATAATTTTCTTAACGCGAATAAAAAAGTCCAAGGAATGGCTACGCGTTTTGATAAAAATGTAACTTTAGTACATGAGTACGTAGAGCTTAAAACGCTAGTGGCGTTTTACATGTTGAACGTATCGTCTCGGAGACGCGGGAAAAAATTTCCATCTCCCGTTTCCTGTTTGCATAATACGGGAGAGCGCAATAAAATTCTTCGGCAAATATCTCACCAGCCACACACCAGACCGCATGCATATTCATTTGCGGAAACGAGGCGAATTCGTGAAAAAAACTATGAGCCACTGAGATACTTCTATGAACCGATTAGCAAAAAGTCTGCCGCAAGAAAGTCTCTGAGAACGCTAGTGAATAGCTGTTCGTTTTAAGGATGTATTGGCTATATAGTCAATCCCAAAAGTTTATGTACCTTAGAAAAACGCATTTACTATAATTAAAAATAACTCAGACGTCGGAAGAA